AGCACCGCTGTCACTCCAGCACTGGGACAGCTGGTCACACTAAGCAGTGCAAGTAGCGGTGGAGGAGGAGGAGGCTTTCCAACGACGCCCAGCAAGGAGACACCTTCGAAAGGACCCACCGCGACCCTGGTGCCCATTGGTTCGCCCAAGACGCCTGTATCAGGGAAGGACACCTGCACTACCCCCAAATCCTCCACTCCTGCCACTGTGAGCGCATCCGTGGAAGCCAGTAGTTCCACAAGTGAAGCCCTGACCAACGGAGATGCCTCGGATAGGTCTTCCACGCCTTCACAGGGCGCCACCACTCCCACGAGCAAGCAAAACAATGCAGTGCAGCCACCGAGTAGCACTACTCCCAGTGCCAGTGGGAAAGAAGAGCCCAAATTGGCAACCTCCAACAGTTTAACGTCCGCTACATCAACTGCTACCACGAAGACGATCACCAATGGGATTGGAGTACCCAGAACGACAACCAGCACCTCTGCTGGCTCAACCGCTACCACAACCACCACCAGTTCTGGTACCTTTACCACAAGTTGTACCAGCACGACCACTACCACCACGTCGAGCATCAGTAATGGATCGAAGGATCTCCCCAAGGCGATGATTAAGCCGAACGTCCTAACTCACGTCATCGATGGCTTTATCATCCAGGAGGCCAACGAACCATTTCCCGTCACTAGACAGCGATATGCAGACAAAGACGTCAGCGATGAGCCGCCAAGTGAGTATAAACTACTAGTACCAATTCATAATCGCAATCTTATTGTATCTTTCCTTCCCGCAGAGAAAAAGGCAACCTTGCAGGAGGACATCAAGCTGAGTGGAATAGCATCATCTCCAGGCTCGGACATGGTTGCTTGCGAGCAGTGTGGAAAGTTGGAGCACAAAGCTAAACTCAAACGGAAGCGCTACTGCTCGCCGGGATGCTCCAGGCAGGCAAAGAACGGCATCGGAGGAGGTGGAGCAGGAGAGACCAACGGCCTGGGGACAGGCGGTATAGTTGGGGTGGACGCCATGGCATTGGTGGATAGACTGGATGAAGCTATGGCCGAGGAAAAAATGCAGACAGAATCATTTCAGACAATATCCGAGGCTTTGCCAATTCAAGCGGCTACACCGGAGATTCCACCGATTTCAATGCCAGTGCTAGCGGCTATGTCGACATCTTCCCCACTTTCGTTGCCCCTGACATTACCCTTGCCGATTGCAATAGCTCCTCCTGTGCCACTGCCAGTGATATCAGCTGGAGTGGTTACGCCGGTTTTACCATTACCATCCTCCAATGTAAATGGAACCGATCGCCCTCCCATCAGCAGTTGGAGTGTGGAAGAAGTTAGCAATTTCATTCGAGAACTGCCTGGTTGTCAGGACTACGTGGACGACTTTATACAGCAGGAGATCGACGGTCAAGCGCTGCTGCTGCTCAAGGAGAACCATTTGGTAAACGCAATGGGCATGAAGCTGGGTCCCGCACTAAAGATTGTGGCCAAGGTGGAGTCCATTAAGGAGGTCCCGCCAGGCGATGTAAAGGATTAGAAACTTGCAACTAAAGTGAAGGTTGCAAAATGACATTTTCTTTAGTTTCCCGCGTTTGACCTAAATGTAACAACATTTACTTCGTGAGCGAATGATCACCCAGAACACAGTGTATCACGTTCCGACTCACCACTTCTCACAGCACGTACACCGCAATCATCAGCTGCATCCACCGAACCTTTAAAGGCAACGCCCCAGCGAGCACTCCGATGCCTGAAATCACTGACCCTGGTGCAAGGTCCATCCAATCCAGAATCACCAACTATAAGACTATGTGCGAGTAATTCCTACGCCAATTAGGTGGTAAAGTAGTTCTTCACGCACATGACAAAGGCAAGGGATCTGGCTCTCGGTCGGTGCCGGAGCAGCAGCTAGATAAACACCCCGCCCAGACCAAAATATTGTGGCCAGGATAGAGTCAAAAAAAGAGATTGTCGTCTTTGGGAGACGAAAAGGATACGGCGGTTAAAGGAACGCCGCCGCCACCGTCGATGGATCCAGGACGCACAGGCACTCTTCAGCACTCTGCCGGAGTCTGAAGATAAGAGCGGACATCATCCTGTGCTTCGATTTAACCACGCTCATCTGCCACGACCTTTGCGTGGAGGGGGGACCTACCTGTGGACCGGGTCCAACCAGGTCTGCCGCCCAAGCTGAATTTGATTCACTTGAAGCGGACTTTTGAACCTTTTGTACGTAATCTAAACTTAGCAAGAGGGGTGATCTCGTAGCTCAAATGACAGGCCGCCACATGTATGATAAAGCATAGACTGCCATCCCAGTCATCAATTCATCAATTTGTATAGAACTTCACGATTACTCCTAAGCCCTAACGTATTTATTTAAACGTTGTTAATCATTTCACAACACCCTATGCGAAGAACATGAAAAAATCATCTGAACTAGAAGTAAGCTGGGATTATATTTACGTAGTTAGTACTAAAACTTAAGCCTGAAGTAATTCCTAAGTGAAACTGAATTGAATACGACAACTAAACTTTTAATTTATTGATAAACTTGACGTATGCAGAATTTTTGCCTTTTTGAGGCAAGGTTCCGAGAACGCAGTCGAACTTTTATAGATCGAATTCAGTGGTCCGAGTTTAATTTTTTTATTTTTACAAAACCTTTTTTTTCCTACTGCTGAAGTAAATAAAACTGTCGCTGTAAAGTGATTAATGAAAGTGAATTTAAAGTACAGATCGAGTTTTATTGGTTCGAGGGATTACAAAACTGTCCATTTCGTAAACTTGCCAATGTCGATAATTTTATCCATTTTATCACTCATATTAAACACATGGTAATTTTCCGAAAGATTATTTGAAATATGGTTTATTCAATAATATATATTTTTCTTTCAAATATGCAGACACATAAAAATGTAGAATATATCTTCAATATTGTTATCGGTATAATGTTTCGAACAGCTATGCATCTTAAGGTTTCAATTTAATTTCATAATAATATTTTGTGGCTGTGTTTAATTTTTATGTTTGTTACGTTTAGTTAGCGTTTGCAGAGTCAGATTGATTTACATATAGATTTGCTTCAACATTACAACGACTTTGGTTTTGTCTACAATATATTTTTGGTGTTGCCTTTTGTCTCGATTTCTCGATTTCGCGATCGTTTTGTTGCGTTTCATTAATTTGTTTATCTTACGATCTAGAGCTACGAAAACTTTGTTTGTTGCGTCTACCGCGTTTCGTCGTGGGCTCGATTACCTTTTGTTTTGGATTGTTATCTATAGTTGCAATCAAATCGTCATCGTTTAACAATATTCGCAGTATTCTACACAGATGTCTAATGCTCGTAGGTCGATTAATATTTTATTTGATGCCAAGAGAAGTATCTCCTAGCTGCTTCTTGTATACAGATACATATACGTTTGCGCCTCGTCGTCGTTTTTTTTCCGACTCAATGAAAATGCTACCGAGTAGTACCGCGCTGTATTTCGCCTCTAAATATATATTATTCATACTCCATATAGTATATGGTAGTTTAACACTTGTATTTTGCAATTGGCAACATTTGAACAAAGAAAACGTCGTCTCTATTTGGTTTTAATTCTTGCAACATCGAAACCGCACCGAGGTTTCACTAAAAATCGAACAACTTCTTCTCATCGGATTATGAACACGGGTTGTGAGGTTGGATCGCGTGGTTAGCTTATAGACGTACGTGGAGGAGGGGAGGGGACCTTGGATTCGGGTGGGGGGCACGAGGAAATCGGTTGAGGTCCGAGGCTACGGTTGCTGGGCTTTTCAAGTTCTACCCGAGAATATCGTTATCTAAAGTAAGTCACTTAAGCAATTTTTTCTTGGTGTTTGTTTTCTACTATGGATAGTTGGTGTATGGTTTACATTTCGATATTGCCTAGATACAATTTTAGAATTATTTAAGTTTAAAGCGTTTCCTTGCTCTTGTTAATTTTTTTTTGGTGTTTGGGTCGTCTTCATCGATCCCTCCTCAATATTCATGTCGTTATTTTGATTTTGGTTCGTTCTTATTGATTATAACATCGATGTGTATGAGATTTGTGGTCAAATGACTGCGATGAGGCCTATTGGTGTTTGGTTGTTGCTGTTGGCTTTTGTGCTTTGGCATTCATCTCTCCCTCCGCCGGCTGCTCCATTGGTCTGCGTTCTCCAATTTCCAATCTCAAATCTCCAATCTCCATATCCGATATCCACTGTCTGTCTATATGCTATAAAAATTCAACACAAGAAGTGCGGGACTTTGTTCGCCCCGCGCTCCCAAGATCAAAACATATCGTATCCCCAGTGGGATTCATTTTCGGATTCACCTTCGTTTTTGGGGGCCACTAGGTCGCCGCCCAGTCGAAGCCAGGCTTCGACATATGTATTCCATTTGAATAATCGTATTATAGGCTAACTATATAAAGTACTAGATCACGCACTTACACACACACTTTTGTCGTCCGATCGGGATCACCCGCTAGTGCTCAGATGGTGGGTGGAAGGTCAGGGGTCAGTTTCGATTCGAGTGGGTGGTGGGGTGGTGTTGGGTTTATGTGTGAACACATGATTACTTATTGTTCTAACTGGGAGACTGGGAACTGGGTGGCTCCCTCTTCTCCGTGGTGTGAGTCAAGTTTTCGTCTTGGTCGTCGAGGCGCTTTTATATAAGGCTATGTTCCAAAGTGTTCGGTTTTCTTTCAGTTCGTTGAGGATGTGTGGCAACATAACTCAAGTTGAGAACCAAAAAGGAAAAGCGTTCAACAAACATGCAGGAAAAATAAAAAATAATGTGCTTTTGTGTATCGCATATAAAATGTTTTATTTTTCTGTATAAATACAAATATAATTTGTGTTGTTTTTTTAGTTTTGTATTCGTTTTTCAGTTTTGTGGTTTTTTCTTTTCTTTTTTTTGCAAGATCAAGATGAATAACAATTTAAAGCACTTATAAAAGCATAAAGTTAAATAAGATAAAATAAGGGTATGTTTTAAATATATATATTACTTAAATTTGCACAGTAATCTAATCGATTTATATTTCGCTGCTGCTGATATAGAGTTCTTCCTTCCTGTATATTTTGTATTTATGATTTAGCTGTTGGTATTTATTTTGAAATTTTTTAATTTCTTTGCAGCGCCCAAGGTACTGTGCTTAAATATTGCATATATAGTTTGATTCCGCTTCAGCGTTGAAATAATAAACTTAGTCAAGAAAACACTCGTGCATAGACAGAGGGTGTGAGAGAGAGTGAGAGAGAGAGTGTGAGAGAGAGAGAGACAGAGATGGGGAGACTGGGTAGAGAGACACAGACACACAATTAATGCATAATTTCTAAAGTACAAAATTTCTAAATACAATTCTTTCGATCATTTGAAATGTAACACAATGGGCAATCGCTATAAATAATCATCAATATACAATTAAGAATATACACACACAATCACTTAATTAATGGGGAAATTAACGGGGAAGGGGAAAATCAGAAATTGGCTGCTAGAGATATACATAGATCTAGATCTGGATCTGAATCTGGATCTGTCGAGCTGTAATCTTAGTTTTCTTATTCTAGGGACGACACGCTTAAGCGCTTCTTAGCTTTTTCTTTTACCTCTAATCTGTTCTCTTCTCATCTGTTCATTTTATTTCTGTTCTGTTCGGTTGGCGTCTCCGCTGTTCTGTTCGGTTCTGTTCTGATCTCGGTTGCATCTGTTCTCATCTGTTTCTATTACTGTTACTGTTTCAGTTTCTGTTCTCGCTGTCACTCGAATCACAATCAACGCTTTTTGTATCATTATCGTTACGTGCTTACTGCCTCAGTTACTCATCTAACTTCTTCTCTTTCGATTTTGTCAACACTTACTACACTAAAAACTTGATTTGCACTCCAACCGGTTACCCGTTTCCGTTTCCAGTTGAATTTGGAGGAAGTGAACTTCACTTTTCTGAAACTTGATCAACTTTCGCCAAACTAGATTGGAAATTAACCGATTCAAATTGAATGTGCCAGAACTAGACATCGCTTCATAAATGGATTTTATCAATGATTCCCAAAGGGGGAACTACAACTATTTTCAAACATGAGAAATATCATCAGATTCAATTAGTAAAATTTAAAGTTAAGCTACCTTTGTGGTTTGTAACCAGCGCAATACATAAAAATATTTGTCACAAGTCAATTTTCTCATCTAAAGCGAATATTTTCAAAAAAGTGAAATACTATCAATGTCGACTCCGCCAAATTCAAGCGGTGTGGAACAGGGAACGGGATTTATCATTTTGTTGCTGCGATTCTTCTCAAACATGTGTGTTTCTTTTTTGGCGGATCTGCTGCAGTTCCGCCCAGATTGTATCCTCAACTTCCGGTTCGGGGGTTCTTAAAATACTACTACATAAATATGCCTGGGTTTTGGGGGTTCGGGGTGGTGGGGTTACTGCTTTGCGTGTGCAGGGAACACTTACAACATAAAGCGAGACAATAACATACAACTAAGCATTACACACAATTACAAAAAGTATATAGATTACAATTATTAAAAAAAAAAAAAAAACGTAGAACGTGGTACAACAGTAAAACATAGTCGAGGGTTTGGGTTTTGGGTTTGGGGCGGCTGGGTGACATTATAAATGAAATCCGCTTGTGGTCTGTGTGCGTATGGGGGGGAGGTGGGTGTCGGGGGGCGTGTCAAGGGGGCGTCGCGACTTAGAAATTCATTTGTCATGTTTTGCGCGGCGGTGTCGGTGGCGGCGGCAACGCAGGCGCATGGCTCGGCGGTCGAAAACCGATCATGTCTTTGGGAATGTTTTTGAATTTTGCTGAAAGATGACGGGACTGGTGAGCAACTTGAGTATGCCTGGACGCGGTCGCAGCGGCGGCGCCGGCTGCTGCATCTTACCTGCTCCCGCCGGAGCAGTCGCCTGCTCCTCGCGCTGCTGTTGCTGTTGTTTCTGCTTCAGCGAGTCGCTGTAAAAGTTCGACTTGCGCATATTGCCGCCCAGCCCCAAGCCGATGCCGCCCAGCAGGGCGTTGATGTTGCCGTTGCTGCCGCTGCCGTTGCTGCCGCTGGTGTTGTTGCTCCCGCTGCCGCTGCCGTTGCTGCAGCTGCTGCTGCTGCTGCTGCTATTGCCGATGCCGATGCCGTTGTTATTATTGTTGCAGTTGACCACCGGCAACGGCGGCTGCTGCTTCGATGCGTGCTTGTTGCCGACGCCCATGCCCACGCCCATGCCTAGGCCCATCCCAGTGCCCAATTCCGCCAATGGCGGTGTCAGTGGGGTTTTACTCGGAACTAAACTTATGCTAGAAATTGCTGGTGGTAATGGAGATCTTTGTGAATCGTTGCCAATTTCGCCCGTGTACCTGGATGGTGCGATAAGATAGCCATTAGACGGACACTCTTACGGAGTCCCTCGGAATCTACTCACTTTATATTGGTGTACTCGCGGCCAACCTGCAGGCTCTGCTCCTCGGCGCGCTTCCGGGCGATCAGGGTCTGGATATAGTGCTGCACCGCATAGTAGACGAACTTGTATTGCGCCTCCGTTTGCACGAGACCGGAACGCTGTGATCGGACCATCTGAATGGTGCGCTGTATGTCGATTTCGGTATCCAATCCTGTGAAGAAACACACACGGAACGGAGCTTTAATGAGGGTCAAGTTCTTTGTGGCTGGATTTGTTATTCCAGTTCTCGTTTTTTGACCACACCCAAACATTCAAACTTACCATTGCGCACGATCTGGTCGAGAATCATGTCGATCACAATGAAGGTGCCAGTGCGTCCGATGCCCGCCGAGCAGTGCACACAGATCGGACCCTACAGACGAGTAATAGAGAGAAGTATTTGGTTAAAGCCAATGATGACCCAAGTGTGATCCAAGTCAAACTTACCGGCTTCTCGCCCGCCTGAGCCAGGTGACTCTGACGCGTGTTGACATCCTGCAGGAAGTTGAGCACACAGCCCGGATCGGCGGGCACTCCGTGATCCGGCCACACCTGGAAATGGTAGTGAAATATCCGGCGCGCTGGCTGATCCCGCCACGAGACGAGAAACTCGCGCAGCGTGTAATCACTGGTCGAGTTCTCCGAGACGCACTGTATCCGCGCATGGCCGAACTGCTCCGATCTACCCTCGTCCGGCCAGTAGCGGGCGCACTTTTCCTTGCCGCGCTCGTACTCCTTGGTGGTCATAACGATCACGCGCGTGTTCTCCTGCCAGACCATGTTCCAGAAGTCCGTCACCGTGTTCACTTGCTGGGTGAGCAGGCAGCCCTGGGTGGCGATGTAGGTCTTAAACATCTCGCGCTCCCTCTCGCGTTCCCGCTCGGCCATCGATAAAGAGATAGCGCCGGACGAGTCGTTCGAGTGTCTCTTTAGCAGGCCGGCCAGACAACCGGCTGTGCCGCTCGTGAGATTGGTGGGTGTGCCGGGTCCGTTAACGCTGCTCACTCCGCTGGTACCAGACGATCCTGGTCCGGAGCCAGAGCCAGACCCGGAGGAGGGCGAAGAAGAGGCCGACGATTCGCTGCGCTTGTGCTTGCTCAGGGAGTCTGACTTGCGGCTGCAGGTGGCACAGTTGCTGTACGGCAGAATGGCGCTTTTCACGGCGCACTGCACGCACGTCTTGTTCTGCAGCTGGCAGTTGGAGCAGTTCCGTTGCGTCTGGGCCGCCGTGCAGGCGGGGCACGAGGGCACCGAGCTGTTCAGGCTCTCCGACGAGCTGCTCATGTTGTACAGGTCGCCGTCGGTGGGCAGCCGTATGTAGTTGGCATTGATGTACTCGGCTCCGGCCACGCTGTGCTCCACGTCCAGCAGCTTGACGCGCGTGTGGTCGTCTGGAAAGTGGACAGGGAAATAGGTTATAAATTTGGTATGGCATTCCATATCTAGACCACTACTTTTACTGGTTTAGACAAGCAACTATTATTTTATGACGGAAATTCCGAAAAAGACCTTTGGCAAAGTCAATTTTTGTCATAACTTGGCTTAAAATTGTCATATAGATGAAAGAATAACTGTTTTGAGCAGCTAATTACCCATTCTAATAAACCCTATCACTTTTTGGTGAATTTAGGAAAATTCATTTTGGGGTCAGTTTTTGCTTTTTTTGTCATCATAAAAATTTGCAAAAAATGGCGAAAAGATTGAATTCCTTTTTTTGGATACAGTTCGATTGGGAATTTGAATACAAGTTCAACGAGGTATAACATTCCATATTCAGACAATTATTTTTAAAGTTGTGGGAAAAAAACGGATTATTTTATGTCGGAAAATCGGAAGAACGACTTTTGGCAAAAATTCGCATCAAAATTTGAAAAAAATCGGAAAAAAATTGAATCCCCATTTTTTAACACAGTTCGATTGGGAATTTGAATACGAACTCAACGAGGTATGACATTCCATATTCAGACAAATATTTTTAAAGTTGTGGCAAAAAAACGGATTATTTTATGTCGGAAAATCGAAAAAACGACTTTTGGCAAATATTCGCATCATCAAAATTTGCAAAAAATCGGAAAAAAATTGAATCCCCATTTTTTAACACAGTTCAATTGGGAATTTGAATACGAACTCAACGAGGTATGACATTCCATATTCAGACAAATATTTTTAAAGTTGTGGCCAAAAAACGGATTATTTTATGTCGGAAAATCGAAAAAACGACTTTTGGCAAATATTCGCATCATCAAAATTTGCAAAAAATCGGAAAAAAAAATGCAACTCCATTTTTTAACACAGTTTGATTGGAAATTTAAATACGAACTCAACGAGGTATGGCATTCCATATTCAGACAAATATTTTTAAAGTTGTGGCCAAAAAACGGATTATTTTATGTCGGAAAATCGAAAAAACGACTTTTGGCAAATATTCGCATCATCAAAATTTGCAAAAAATCGGAAAAAAATTGAATCCCCATTTTTTAACACAGTTCGATTGGGAATTTGAATACGAACTCAACGAGGTATGGCATTCCATATTCAGACAAATATTTTTAAAGTTGTGGCCAAAAAACGGATTATTTTATGTCGGAAAATCGAAAAAACTACTTTTGGCAAATATTCGCATCATCAAAATTTGCAAAAATTTGGAAAAAAATTGAATCCCCATTTCTTAATTTGGTTTGATTGGCAATTAAATTACGATCTCAACGAGGTATGACATTCCATATTTAGGCAAATATTTTTAGTGTTTTGGTGAAAAAAGTGAATATTTTAAGACGGCAATTCGGGAAAGTGACTTTTGGGAAAATTTGAAATTTACGAAGGGTCTATCCAATGCTATCGTGGATTGCAAATTCAATGAATCGCTTGAATAGACATATAGTGTTGTGAAGAGCATTGAGCTTAGGATGTTATCTGGAGTTGGAGTTATCGGATGTTGGGGCCTTCTATCGGATCTAAGTGGTTTTCTATACTCACATGGCAATATGTTGCGGTAGCGGTTCTTGAGGCGGTTCTCCTGTTTGTAGCCCTCGTTGCGCGAGAATGTGTCCCGACTGTCCTGTTGCAGCGATTCGAACTCCTCCCAGAAACCTCCCTGGAATCGAATGCCACGACGGGGTTAGTTCGCCCCAGAATCACTGCTATCTGACAGGGAACTCACCTTGACCAGCTGTTCCACCCGGGCATTGATTCCGGCCGCCGTGATTCGCGTGGCGTTGAATGGCTGCCGCAGATGCACCACGGTTCCGCACGTCTCCACCATGGGATTACGTTTGTAGTGATCGATCAGTTCCGACAAGGTGCCAAAGGATTCCCCGCCGCCGACGTCGTACTTCTTGTCCTGCAATCGGGAAAGTACTGTAGTGTAATCGTGGCATTTTAATAATAGGGGGACACGTGGTGGAGGGTCTCGATCTCCAAGTTCGATGGAGCGTCGAGAGATTAGCTAATAAATCGAAAACGTGACTTCAATGTCAAATGGGTAAAAGGCCAGCTAGACATGTAAATGGCATAATTGCAGCCGCAAACCGCAAAAACAGCAAAAACCGCGCTCACGGCAAAAGTTATAGTAATGGTGGAAAAATTGTTTTGGGGGAATTACGCTGAAACTGGAACTGCACTGCTTGACCTGGTTGAAGCTCCTGCCGCAAGCAGTTTGCCCGCGCCGAGGCAATGCAGGCATATCTCGGAATTTATACAGTAGGCCCTCGATAATGTTGATAATAATAGGGGATTTTTGTGGTACTTGCGAATGGCAAAATGTGTTCAAGATGGAAGGATTGAATATTTTATAGTACTCTTTACACCTCGCGCGAGGAGCCATCGTAAGGAGGCTTAACTGTAGAGTTTATGTGCACATACAACTCGACTGTAGAGCCAAGGTCGCGCTATGAGGAACTTTATGGGCAGTGCGACTTTGTTGCTGCACTGCCATCGATTTGCATTTGCATTTTGCACCCTGCGAGGGGAGACTACTAAATCTGGTTGGTTGGGGTTACGTATTCGACATACCTGCCATCGAATCATGACATGCGTTACTTTGTCGTCCGTGCGCACGGAAAGGACGAAGTCGCCTGGCTTGCTCTGAGATTCACGGACGAGAAACGAACCATTCTTGCCCCGCTCCAGGATCAATTTTTCCGCTTCCTTTCCGGAAAGATTGCCATGAAACCATCTGCGGAGAGAAAGAAGAAGGTGGTTAGGACATGATTACATTAGTTCCGCTGTTATTCGTAGATATGTATATGTAATTGTGGCCATCTGTACCGATCGATGGCTCATCCACTGAACGAACTGAGCGATTGACTGACTGACTGACTGAGTGCTCGACTGCTGACTACGTGAGCGCTCAAAATGCAATTACAAACTATACGAGAAGCGCACAAAAGCGCAAAATACTAGAGCCACCGACAACAACAAGAGCAACCGCAATACCAGCAAAAAGCAGCAACAAACACAAGTTGCAAGCGGGCAGGCAGCGCAGTACAAATCGAATATGGGTACAGTCGGGACTCGGTGGGCGGAACTCTGTGTCGACGGCCACAGCCTTTTCACTCACTGGTTACTCGATGAGTAAAGCCAAAGGCAGTCATTCCCAGGTCTTTGGAATTAAAAGTGTAAGCATGCAAACATAGTTCTGCGCTCTCGAGGGCTCACTGTAGCTATATGTGCTAAAGCACACAGCAGCAAAAGTTCGAAGAAAACAGTCAAATGCAAGGCGACAACTGCAATAACAACGGCAACGACAACGGCAACGGCAATAGTGGCGAAAACACGCATACGCCGTGTGGAAAAGCGCAAGTTGAGTCGAAGCCAGCCACTTGGGGCCGGGACTTATAAGTCTACCCGTCTGGCCTGCTCAGCTTAGTTGGCTTGACAGACTTGAGATTGTCATCGCCAGGGCAATTGCAGTTGGAAGCGCATTTTTGCCATGTGACACAGAAAAAGGCGGCTAAATTCAGCTTAAACTCTTAAACGCAAATGGAGCGCGGATTGGCAGAGCTTCTCTGAGTGTCTCCGATGAACCAAACTAAATCATCTCGTTCTATCACTCCGATGTCCACACACCTTCCACCGTTGGCCTACACACACTGGGTTCATTGGATCCGCGTTGCCTCCCTCCTAATACTTTGCATAAATAACACTGGCCTAAACAACTGGCTCGGAATGCCATTATAGACCGCGTGCTGCTGTTGTGCTGGGCATCTCCTAGCCCGCTTTCGAGTTTGTCGCCGTTGAGCCGTTGAGCAAACAAAACACACAAAAAATACGGAATTCGAGCAAAAATCTAGAAACAATTGACAACATTGAGTTGTCCTTAAGCCGGTTTCAGTTTAGTGCCTGGGGTCATAGATATCATAAAATATGTCATCGATGTGGCGAGAATATTGGTGGAGTATCGGGTTGTGGGGACGACGACTAAAACGCTGAAACGACTAAAGAGACTCAAAACTCATGTATAATGTATGCGACAGGTGCTAGGAGCCCCTACACAGAAAACAATACATATGTAATTCAAATATCAAATGGTAATTGTCTCCTCCGTTGGAAGAAATCACGTCTTGTAGATAGACTCATCGGTGAAGCAAAGTAAACACCATTTAGCCATGTTGCGAGTGATCACATTTGAAAGCACATACAGTTTTCGTATTGGCGATTTTCAATAAAACTGCTTTCTGTGCATATTGATTTGCTTTAGTCAGCCAAATCAATTCATCTTCCGCCTGGCTATTAATAGAAGTCCATGTAGAAACAATTAACATTACATTAGAGCCACAGAGTGGCGGGCATTTCATGCTGTCTACCCGTCTCCCTCTCGCCGCACTGGCCATCTCGCTCGCTCGCTCTGCTTGCCAGCTTGTTACAGATTCAAGGTGGTTAAACGCGAAGCCGATCGGTTGGGAGTGATAAGAATGAGTTTAATGGGTTTATTTTTAGAAAAACGGAAGTATAAGTTTATTACATGCAGGTCTACGGTTATGTGCACTGCTTGCTTGCGCGTAGGAACCAATACTGTATACTGCTTGCACCAAACCGAAACCTTCATAACCTAAGAATTTCTAGAACTAAGGGCTTCCGTTTTCCGATATTTTCATTTACGAACTGCGCATTCTTTCGGATGATTCAATATATATGTACATACATATGAATATACGAATTTGCGTATGGAAAGGTTCTCGAGTTATTTGCATAAGACAATTCACAGTTTTCGGACCACATCTATTAGCACATTTGCGTATTGTTTGGCCGCTCGTTTGTTTACGATCGTCGAGCAATGTTGTTTTTGGATTCGGGGACGCATCGCCCTCTGTCGTCTGACCCCGTGCAATCGAGTTGAACTTAGCAATTATCGCAGCCCACATCGAACATATCTCTGATATCCTTTGTGTCATTCTGCCGAACTGCCGCACTGCAAAACTGCCAAACTGTGTCCCCGTCTCCATCCATACCCATATTTCGGTGTTTATCTTTAAATTTAGCACTGTGACGATAACACAACGCTACACAAATTACTTCTGCTGCGCTCTCACTCAGCGATTTAAATCGGGCGGACTGGGGGTTAAAAATACAAGCAGTGGTATTGCCACCACCCGAGTACGTCAGTGAAAATTTCACACCTTTTTGCATCATTTACAGTTACACTTACAGCGGCGAATACGAATGTGGCGTATTTACATGCGGAGGAAGCTGCGCGCCATTCATGAAAGCGCCGCTAAGGTCAACAAACAGATTTACATGCACACACGAATAAGTGCAGTTTATTTGTACGCAATATTCGAATACATGTACATGTACACGAATCCCTGAGTGTTTTAGTCGTTTCGTTTGTCACAGGTTTATTTTGCTTTTTGTGTGGCAACGCACCTGGAAAGGCGGCAGCGAAACGACTGGTATTGGGGTTACGAGGGGAGAGCGGAAGCAGGGGAACGAGGCCTTCATTAAATTAACTTAAAACTCGGAAAGATACTTATTGAATGAGCTGCTTGCCCATACCCTAACCACCCACTCGCAAGCAGTGTATGGGGTAGTACAGTCTATTCAAAACAACATCATATTCATGAACAGTTCAAACTGTCAAAAGTTCTGTCAAGTTTGATAACTGGACTGGGGAAAATTCAAGTTGGAGATGGTCTCACGGAGGGTGAGGGTGGGATGGAATCGTAAAAATTCCACGGAGTTTTCCCCCTTCAGTTGGGCCTTCCCAATGAGAGCATCTTGTAGTCGGCTGACGGTATGAATTTGCACAAATTAAACGCTTTTATTTGATCAGCAGCAACAGCTCACGGTTGTGCAACGGAACAAAAAACGGAAATATGCAAAACAGAAGGCAGCGCTCGAAATCCATTACGGGAAAAAGTAATTTCATAAATCGTTTATCAGCCTTATGGCTTGGAACCATTGGAAGATTAATAGTGCTAGGAGGCAAGGGCCCCTAGCCCTGCCCCATTGGTGACCTAGTGAAGTGACAAGTGAAATCAGGAAATCGTGCCGATTGGGCTGTCAGAGCTATTGGTACATCATTTTCTGATCATTTGGCATGGACATTACGTGTGCGTTTTAGGATAATGACAAAAAGATCGCCCTCACGCTGAATACCTTAAGGAGCTAAGCATAGATTAGCATTAAGCCAAAGATCAAGTTAACGATAATGAATCAGTTGCGATAAACATCAACAACAATAGCCAACCGAAACCGACTACAGTACCAATCCGAGCTCAACTAAATTTATGGGACATAATAGTCCAGCAGATACATATTCGAGTGTTCGTAAACATTCTGGAGGTACTGTGCGAATCGAGATCGCCAAGATGGGGCCAGCCCACACAAACAATCGGACGGCACATGGCACATGGCACAGCCGGGCAGATAGCAGATAAACACCAAGATCGGACACGGAGTGGGATGGAATCTTTGGGGAATGTGGAGGACGGACAGCGTAGCAGCGGGACATGGGTAAACATTCCGGGCGCGAGTGAAGAGATAATTTGGATCTGGCAGTGTTCCAAGATACGATGTCTGCAGTGGGCAATTCGACGAACTCTCCCGGTTCTACAAGTGCGTAATTTCGCTAGGGGATCCATTAGCCATTTCTATTTCCATTGCCAGTGTCCTAACCAATAGCTCAATCTTCAGCTCTAAGTGAAAGAACCAATATGGGAACCCGACTTGACAACGGGCCAATTGTGTGAGGGGGTTGATATGTGACCATATTCGAGCTGGGCCCCTGCCATTCCCCTTTCCCCATTCCCCACTCCCTTCACTCGACAATCCGCAATCCGCAATCGGCACTCGGAAATTCATTCATATTAGAACGTCAATTTACGATTGCTTGTTTTCGAGTCGAATGCTTTGCGTAAATATTTACTCATTTTGCGTGGCAATTCTGAACACATGACAGTTGATGTTTTTGCTTTGTTGCGGCATCAACTGGCAGTGATTGCCCGCCTTATTAGGGCTAATGTTGATGGGCAGCAGATTGGCTCCAGACTTCCCCGAATCGTTTGCTACTTTGCCGCATGTGACTGATGGCATTTTAAAACACCATTAAATCTCGAAAGCGTTCAACAACAAGGCATACCTGCTACGGGGTATCGCTTAGTTCGCAGCCTGACAACTTCATCATCCGCACTGTGATAACAATTAGTGGCTAATTTCGCACGCGCCCCAAATCAGCAGCCCCAAATCGCCGCTCTTTTTCTAACACACACTTGGATGGACTGTTGTCGTTTTGGAGCGAGCTGAACTTACGTGTAACCATGGAGCTGGACGCGCATGTTGGCCAAGAGGGACAGCGTGCTGTTCGAGCAGCTGGCTCCGCCGAAGGCGGCTGGGAACTGGGGCGGGGTGGCTGTCCAGGAGGTGGGCGTGGCCGGGTAGGAGGCATAGGAGGCCTGGGGGCTGGGTGTGAGCCGGTGCAGCGATTCCGTAGACGTGGAGGTGGAGGCGGCGGCGGAGGGTTGGGCGGAGAGTGGACGACGTCTGCGCTGCAGCCGATTATCCCGATTATCGCGATCGCTTTGGCCAGCTGCGCCCTTGGCCACGCCCCTTATGATCTGGGCCAGCTCGTCGTGGGTCATGCAGTTCTTGCAGGCCGGCTCCTGGGCCTCCGGGGTCTCCGGTGGTGTGACCTTGGCTTTCCGACCCTTGCTGGCCTTCAACTTGCCGCTCCTTTCG